GGCAAAGAGCATTTTGTTCTACTATGAGTCCATCTTTATGCTTCATTTGGGAAACACATTGATCTAGCACATTTGTTAACATCTAGAGTTTATTACAATTTTAAACAAAAATAATTTAAAATAATTTAAAAAAACTGCTATCCTGAGTTCTCTCTTCTCTTTAGACATAGTCATAGAATAGAAGGAATAATGCRTCAGTGAGATTTGTAATATTTTAGGCAACTGAACACCTAACCAACTGCAATAAATATGTATTCTTTTTTGTCGTCTTTACTATCTAGACTATTAACTGCACTCAGAGACCAAGAAATGTTTTACAAAGCATTATATCAACCTCTGTTCACCTGATAAAACACAYGAAACACTATGTTTTTTAGCAGTTTTCTTCTTTATGTCACACTGATCTACATACTATTTTATTTTATATCATATTTTTCATTTGAGATTTTGGGGGACATTCGGCTATTGCCATCTGTGTAATGTCTCCATAGTTTCCAGGCCCCAAGATAGATCCGCCCCTAAAGTAATTACTAACTTCCATGAGGGACAGGAAGAAGAAATGACCCTRAGTGAGGCAGTGTTGGTAGCTTCGGAGAGTTTATTGGATGCCACAATGGTGAAAAAAATTCCCTTTTTAGGGTTTATTCTCCCTGTCATTGAGGTTCTGACTTTAAAAGGCCAATTTATGCCTCTGTTGTCTCCCSGAGTTTCTGTGATATCACAGAAAGCAAGCACAATCTGTTGCTGGCTCTTGAAGAGAGCCACTGTTCAGCAGGATAATTCAAGCATTTTGGGAACGGATGGTTGGAAGGAAAGGTAGGCCTTGGAGGTTTCTGGGTCACCATCATTTCTCCTCCCTCCTCCTTCCCTCACCCTCTGCTTTTTTCCTATTCTCTAATTCCACCTACTTTCCTTCAGGGACTGCAAACATCTCACAATTTGAAATACAACCTACATGTTCATACTCACTGAATGAACAGGTGATTTGTTTTTAAATGTTTGGCTCCAGCTTTTTAAATTTATGTACTATTACAATCCCAAGATAACATTTAAGCTCTTTTATACTATATACAATGTCCATTAATTTAAACATGTACTTATTGAATGATTAAAATAACAAATCTCTTTTTGTCTTTGATAGATCCAACCGAGGTCCAGAGATTGAGTGTCACCCACATGGGAGACAACGGTTTATCTGTCAAATGYACGCAACCTAAAGAGATTAATGGCCCCAACAATGGAAGCTACCACTTGGAAGTCAAAACTGGAGATAGTCTCATGGAAAAGAAAGACAAAAAATGTGAATTCTATTTACATGATCTTTACTATTCAACCCAATATGAGTTGAAGGTAAGATCATGCTTTCTATAATAATAATGATACCAATATATATTTTAGCAATTACTATCTAGTACTTGAATAGCATTAAGATCAGTGATCATGTGAACTCTGATGTCTAATGGAATCACACTTGAAGGAGTTTCAAAAATTTGACTCCAATCTTTTTATCCCTGGAACTATTAACTATGGCTTAAAGGAAATGTTTTATTAGAGTATTTTACAACTTCAAAATGATTTGATTATATGGAAATTAGTGCTCATGTGTCAAGAAGTGCTGTCCTTTCTGTGCAACACATTATTACTTAGCCAATTTTCTTCTTGACCCTTTTCGTTTTATTAATGTGAATTTTTCAACTGCAAAATTTTATATGCACATGGAGGTTAGAAAATACTAAAAACAAAATTTCAGACTATATTAGTGAGCATMAAAAACTTTAAAATATTCATAATCTCAATGTGTGGATCATAGTTTATGAATATACTTTGAAAATGTACAATGCACATTTCTTTTTTTCCTTTTTTTCTTTTTTGTTTGTTTGTGTGTGTGTGTGTGTGTGCATGTGTTACTGGGGACTGAATCTGGGGATGCTCTACCACTGAGCAACTACATCYCCATCCCTTTTTACTTTTTATTTTGAGACAGGATCTAAATTGCCTGGGCTGGCCTTTCAATCCTTCTGCCTTGCCCTCCTGAGCAGCTGAGATTACAGGTGTGGTCCACYGTGCCCCACTCCTGTAATGCACATTTTCAATCATTTAACAAGTATAATGTCAACATTCTGAATACAGTTTAGTGAACCATATTTTTCTATTTTTTTTAGAGACAAGGTTTCATTG